GGGGGGGGGGGGGGGGGGGGGGGGGGGAGGGATGAAGAGGGCACCTTGAGGAACGAAAGCGTACGTTCTGCAGCTCTGTACGCGAAATCGAACAACAACAAGGCTAAGATTCCGTTCGTATCCTGCGTGTACCCCCTGCCTCACTACGGATGACGGCCCACAGGGTGTGTGTGTGTACTCATAGTCGTGCATGCCGTAGTCGTTAGACCATTGACCTCGTATCCCTACAAAGCCGGGACGGAGCACGCCGGGTTCTCACCCTACCAGGCTCTCACATCACCAAGCGCGAAGCGCCGTGAGATATTCGGCGAGTCGCATGAAGGGTGCGCTGCATCCTGCTAAGGGTGTTCGGCATCTTGTGCTTACTTCCTTGCGTACGGATGACAGCTGCGTATGACTTAATTTACTTTCTGGTGCTTTCACTTCCAGAGACAGTTGTAAGCACTTTGTAACTGCCTCGAGGGAGCTTGACCATTTTAACACAACGTGGTGCGATCATCCCCCTTGCGCGGAGTGAGGGTTCTCGACCCCGCACAACATGATCCGCTCGAGCACCATTGTGCTTACCGCCAAAAAAAGAACGGCAAAAAAACATGGCTGAAAGAGTGTGGCGCGATACAAGGGCAAGTTTTTATCACTACCGCAGCAACAACGTTCGGCACATATCGGTCTCTCGCCGTGGGAGGCGGTCCAGACCTTCCTCTCTAAAAAAAAAAAAGAACTCATCTGTGGATAGTGGATAATTTTAGAGTCAGATTCGATTCGCTGCGTTTTAGCAAGAAAACAAACACTAAATTTATTGTTGTCTCTCACTTTCACGAAAACAAAAGCAAGGTTACTCACCCTGTCGCCCTGAGTGGGTTCTCCAATCCCGAACACCATCGGAGATAGCCAAAATTCGGGGAAGAACGTAGAGGTCAACCGAGGAGCCAAGAAAACCTTGCAGTGCGTGGGCACCATTACCTTCGAAAAGTAAAGAACCAAACAAGGCACGCGTTTGGGGGGGGGGG